GTTGTGTGCCCTGAGTGAGGAGCTTTCTGCCACAACAGGATGTGGTGGCAGGGAGAGAGGCATGCAATAGAGATTTGCCGTGATTGGTGGGGTCTGATGCAGTTTTTGGAAGCTCAGTTCCAGTTGTGCTTTGTGGTGCTGTTCAGCCAGACCTGGTTTCAGGTTTACCAAAGAGAAGTGCTGAAGCTTCTTTGCCAAAAGTACTTGGTGAGGAGTCTGTGCAGAGCAGAAGACGTAGTGACGTGACTTCCATCTTTCTTGTCATGGACCATATCTCTAAGACGTGCTAAAGTGGAAGAATGAATAGCTTTTCCATATGAACTGGGTTTGGTATCAGTCCCAGTTTTCAGCATTTACATAGACTGTACAGCTCTTGTACAAATACTTACTACACTTTTTCTTTGCAGCAGCAAGAAGTCCTTGGAGAATTACCCAACTTCCAGGCTATATTTTTGTAGTTACTGTGGTGTTGTCTGTGTGAACTGCAAAGATTTGGCATGCTGCATTTTTTGTATTGTCAGTGGGATAGTACATGTGCTGATGGTGGTCCAGACCTGTGGACATGTGACTTTAAACTATCTCATGTCTTTCAGATTTGACTTTTGGGAGAAGTGCTCCTCTTTGCAATTTCTAGGCTTGATGCAGTATTGTATCTTCACAACTATTATGAAGTTAGCTGGTTGTTCTGATATTTCCCTGAAGAAGGAAAAAGTGTCCTATTAAGCAACTAGCAGCCTTTCTCCTTAGCTTGGTAATTTAAAGGGGCGGGGGAGGGGGTGTCTTGCAAATGCAACCACTGGATGTCCTTTCACAGATTTTTTTTTTAATTTTTTTTTTTTTTTTCTGATCCCATAGTTATTTTATTTTTTTGAGTCAGGAGAAATTTCCAGAATGTAACTTATGACTAGGATACTTTTCCCTCCCACAGAGAGCAGATTATTGATAGCAGATATAGCTGGTTCCATCATGTGTTTGCTTTGCAGGCCACCTTATTCTACTTGTTTGTTTAACACACCTCAGCACTCTCTGTCCATCGTGCTGTGTTCTCTTCCTGCAGAACAACAGACACAAGTATTTTATTTTGGTATTCACAATTCAGGGGGGAAAGGCTAGCTAGAAGTCATATATAGCTGTAAATGCAACTGGATGAGAGTTTGTATAAAAAGAACATGCAACCTATAATTTCCATGTTATTTTCTTATTATAAATTTTTGCTGTATTACTAAGTCATGCTCATCATGCATAATGTGGTACTTTAGTTGGTCTATCTCATTAGGATGGGTGAGCTAAATATTTTATCGGAGCCAGGGAAATTTTCAAAATCAGGCTGCTGTGTGGACACAAGTTTGTCTTTGTGATTATGTTCTGTTCCTATGAACTCTTTCAATATCTGCAAACTGTTGCCCCAGCTGGATATGCTATTTTCTCTATCCTACAGACTGCAAGTAAAGATGAAAGAAAAAAAAAAAAAAAAAAAAAAAAAAAAAAGAGAGAGAGAGAGAAAAGAGCAGGAAAGAGATACAAAGAATAAACAAGTTTTGCAATAAATAGATATTTTGAGCTCGGTATTTCACATTGTTTCTTATTGGTCTAACCTCCTCCATGATTTGAGAGGTTTAACAACGCAATTTATTCATTTTCTCCAAGGGACAAGCTGCATCTAATACATGCTCTCCAGGTTCTGCTGTTAAAATATTAGGCAATAAAATCTTTGACTGTACAGTAGTTGTGGTTATACTTTCCCCCAGGTAGTGGAAACTCTGATTTATTGATTAAGTTTTCCCTTTGCACAGATTGGAATGGTTGTAGCAGTGTAGAAAGGCCTGTTTTTTCTCCAAATGTGTGTATTTGTTGGTGACCCAGCTCCTCTCTGATGAGCTCTTTGCTGAAAAGCCCTCCACAGTTGCTGAATGGGCATCTGTGAGCACTGGTGCAGGCTGAGTTGGATGCATTGTAACCAACTTGCTTTTCTGGCTGGTGAGAAGAGAAGGCTCTGGAGAGACCTCATATCTGCCTTCCAGTACCTGAAAGGGACCTACGGGAAAGCTGGGGAGGGACTCTTAACAAAGGCTTATAGAGAGAGGATAAGGGGTAATGGATTAAAACTGGAAGATGGGAAATTTAGATTACACATTAGGAGGAAATGCTTTACTGGGAGGGAGCTGTGACACTGGGACAGGTTTCCCAGGGAAGATGTGGGTGCCCCATCCCTGGAATTTTTCAAGGCCAGATTGGATGGGGCTCTGAGCAACCATGGCAGGGGGGTTGGATCTAAGTGATCTTTAATGTCCCGTTTAACCCAAATCATTCTATGATTCTATGAAAAGGGTCTGCCTGTGCTTTGGGTGGTTTTGCAGTATAGAGATAGTTATCCCAGCTGGTCTGAAGAGCAGAAGTGATTTCTGGGGAGTCCACTTGCACAACACAGACAGACCTTTCTTCAGGGATGTACTTTTAATACAAATTAGCTAAACTGGCTGAGCCAACCCATATTAAGGACAGACTTATTTGCCATGAGCCGCCAGCCTCTGCCAACATGATACAACCATTTGCAGTGATTGACATTGCAGATCTTCAAGGCATTAGCTTGGCCTGGGTTAGTCTGAGGTTGTAAATGAGACGTAGTTTGGAGAGGGATGAGAGATCCTTTTTTTAGACCAACTGAGAAGCTGGAAAAAACAGGTGGCCTTGGAGGCGTGGATGGGCTGGCTGAGGTTTGCCTTTTAAGTTTAACGAGTGTGGGCAGCACCTTGATTGGAAAGGAGGGGGTTCAGTCTGGCAGCCGCCAGATGGGCAGTGCTAGTGCCCGTGGTCTCCTCTCGTGGATGTCCTTTGCAGCACTCCACTGATGCACAAGTATGACTTGCTTTTTCTCCTGAGTGGACTGTAGCCTTCAGGCATAGAGGGGAAAAGAATTCTTAAAAACACAGCTGTTCAGAGACTTCAGAGGAAAATTATAGGAGTACCTCCTTTGTTAATATATATTTTTTTAATCTTCTGGTTTTCAACCACTGTTGTGGATTTTGAGTGTGGGGGGTTAATGTAGCTGCTGACATTAAAGGAGGCAGAGATGGGCACCTCCACCCTGCAAAGGAGCATAGCAGTTGGGTTGAGGGCAGGGGTGCAAGCACATCAACTTCCCCAGGCTAAATGCAGCCTTCCTGAATGTTCTGCTAAGTCAGCTTTGCTTTATAGGTCCAGATCAAGAGAGGTGTCCGTGCCTCTGATCTGAAAATAATTCAGTGCCTGACTGGATTTATTTAGTACTTGAGACCATGTTTCAGCCTGGGTGAGGGCTGAGGGCTCATGGAAGAAGGGAGAGGTGGCTGATCCCCTATGCTGCAGGTGACAACCCCAGGTTGTGTTAGAAAACACTGGTCTTGGCAACTTTCAGAGAAGTGAAAGGGAGGAAAAAAACAGTAAATCATTCTTCAAGCAGCCGTTGCCTCAAATGTGTGGGCTTCAGTGTTGCAGCAGCAAAGATAAAGTATTAACTTCATCCCTGGTGTAATGCTACTGGAATAAAAGTTATGGCATGAAGAAACTCGCCTTGCATCAGTCTGCAATGGGCTCTGCACCACTGCCGACTGCACGCTGTATTTCATAAGATGATAGAATATGAAGCTATTAGAAAAAAAGTAAGGAAAACCAATAAACAAACATAAGCTGCTATCAATAAGCATCTAATTTCTACCATTGTCTCATTCTGCCCTCACGACTCACACTCCCACAGAGGAACTCGCGTTGTTTGCTCCTGTTATGTGAATTTTGTAATTCACTGCATACAAATGTTGATGCCAGATACCCTGAGGAAGACGTCCGTGGTGTTGAATCAGTAGTGCAAGAATGTGTTTGGTGGATTCTTACCTGTCTAGAGTCTAAAATGCGAAGCATTCAGCAAACAATGTGTTATTAGAGATGATGCAGTATCAATCTGTGCATCAAGAAAGTCTGAAAACATAAGAAATTGATCCCTGGGGGAAGCCTGTGGAAATGGGTTTCTGCACCCTGAATGCGAAGGGCAAGAACATGAATACTCTAATTCACATGGCACAAAATACCTCCAGGATCACAACCCTATGTTGCTCCGGACACCCAGCCCAGATGGCTGCAGTGCTGTTTAAAAGCCCCCATATCTTTCCAGCCACAGGGGGGGCAGGCAAATCCTTCACTGCCCAAAGCCAGCTGGGTACCAGGGTGTAGGCAGGGGGATGGTGCTTGCCATAGGATTGTAGAGCAAATTCTTCCTGAGGATGCTGTTGCAGTACTTTCCTTGGTGCCAGGTTTTTCCTTCCTTCCCTCTTTCCTTAGTTTTGGCCTCCAGTGTTGTCCTAGCATGTCATGCCCACCCATGGTATCAGAGCCCTTGTGAAACCAGCATAGACATTTGGGGACGATTTGCTAGGGATGTGGCAGGTGGAGAACCTTGTGCTTCAGGTTTATTTGGCTAAGAAAGATTGGAGGGTGTGAGGGGGAGAAAAGACAAAGATTTGGTCTTTTTTCTTTGGCTGGAAGGAATAATTTTATTTGAGACAATTTTAAACCTTTTTTTTTTTTTTTTTAAATTAAAGCTGCTGAGAAGTAATATTACATCTTCCAAACAAACTGCTGAACTCAACTGCTTTTACCAAACGCATGCAAAATTTTCCCCTCAGGATCTGTAGAGGCCCTGGAGTGCCTGCCTTGCAAAACCTGGGGTGGTGAACAGAGTAACTGGAGAGTGATCTCCACAGGATACCTTCAAGACAGTCTGCTTAAGTGTGTTTATTAATTGCTATAAGTTTAACACCTAAAATTCTCTTTTGGTATGTTACTGCATACAGTGACTGGGAAGAAAAATAATGCAGAACCAAGATATTGAAAGAGATACTGCCCAGCTGATAAACTCTGAAAAAGAATTTTAAAAACCATCCTCTCAGAGGCACAGACACCAGCAGGTTTTATCCCCGGCATTCTCTTGCCACTTAATACACGTGGTTATTTCTTTGTGATCATTTCAGATGCCTCAGGAACAGTACGCGCACCGGAGCGCCATGCAGACCTCGGAAGGACCCCAGGTATACAAAGTGGGGATTTATGGCTGGAGGAAGAGATGCCTCTATTTCTTTGTGCTGCTCCTAATGATTTTAATCCTGGTGAACCTTGCTATGACCATCTGGATTCTGAAGGTTATGAACTTCACAATTGTAAGTAGGGGTCACTATGAAAGATCTGGGGAAGAGGAGGGAGGGTAGTGGTCTCTGAGTGTGAATTCAGATACAGCTTCCATAACAAGATGTTTTAGTTGCCATGGGTAGCTGCTATTACAGGGAGGAACAAATTTAACCAATGATCCTCTTTTTCTGCTGGAGATGTCTGCAGTATTGCCAAACTGAGCAATCAGCTCGGTGTTGCAAATCATGTTTCTACTACCTGCTGTCTATATATATGCTTCTAAGTAAATAATATATACCACCCTCCTCCAACTTTCATTTATAGAGTGTTTTAAAATTAATGAAATAGGTTATTTTGAACTGGGGTGTAGGAATGGGTTTGAGCTTTTCTCCTAGACTTTTCTTGCTTTTCTCTATACCTGGGAAGTTGAGAAACTTGATTTACCTTTTTCTTAGGGAAAATTTGTGGTATTCCATAATGATTTGGTTCCAGAAGCATCATGAAGAAAAATAATGTTTCCAGAGTGGCTTTCTGGGTGAGGTATTTAGGGGGAGTATATCTTTATCCTCATCGTGCCATGGTTGGTGCACATCAGTCCTGCCAGCAGCACTCCCTTGCTGCACAGGCACACCTCACTTCCAGGGCTAGTGAGCTTTTATGTATGGTAGGTTCTAGTTTTTCAGTAGATAATTTGGTAAAACAGACTGAGAATGAATTGACTGGTCTCCTATTCTTCAAAGCAGTTATTGACACCTTGGTCAGATGGAGTTATTTTAGGATCATTTGATTCTTCAGGAGCAACTAAGTTTGAGGTTTAATCGTGGATTTACTTCATTACACAGAGCTGTAAGGCTGAATTCCACTCAACCACTTTCAAGGACTCTTCCAGCCAGGCTCTGATGTAAGCAGTGTGTTTAAAGTCTCCAGGCATTTCTTTCTCTGCTTTGGTCTTGTGAAGCCCTGAACAGCTGTGTCCAACATTATGTCATTAATGGGCCATGAGAAGTTGAGTAAACAATCTCTGACTTACTATTTCCAGCAGACAAAATGCTGTGTCAGGGGAACACGTGACATTCATTTTCTCTAACTAGGATGCTGTCAAGGTGTGCAGAAGATTACAGTGCATGTGTGCTTAGGGAGCAGGCAATTAGAAAGCAGTAATCTACAAAAAGCTCCTGTGAGTGGCTGAAGAGTGAGCAAAACCAGAGAAATTAAAGCTTAACCAGACCGGTTATTTAATCTTAGGAAACTGATGCCATTTTTATACTTAATTTTTGCTGAACTGTGTTCTTTAGATAAATATAATTGAAAAGCTGGTATTTCTGATGTAATGGAAAACTTGATCATATGCTGATCATACAGGCAGTGGAATGGGTATGAGCCCAAGTACTAATAATATAGTTTCAGATTCCTACTTTTCAGGAATACAACTTTATTTGCTTAGACTAACATAACCTCTGTATGTCAGTGCTATGCTTACTGTTATTTGGTGGTGGTCTTGGGTCCTGCCTTGTGAAACTAAGTGAACTCTGCTCCTTTCTCCCTCCCAGCCTGCTCCCATTGCATTGTATTTTGCAGGCCATCTGCGGAAGAGTCATCTCCTAGGGATACTTACAGAAATCTTGCCCTTTCAGCATCTCTCTCCACCCCACTAGGATATACACTGGTTTCTGGAGGGATGTGCTCATCCTCACACTCTTTTCTGATTTGGTTTCCTTAGTCACTAACCCTCTGTGGCTCAATGGGGATTAATCCAAGGTAAAATATATCTGTGTATGGTTTTAGTTAATTCATATCTTCTAATGTTAGTAGTTGAGGGACAACTTTTGGTGAGAAAAACAGGCTACCTAGCATGGAATCCTGCAGTGGGAGCTGCTTTATGGCCATACGAGTCAGGGTGTATGTCTCTGACACTGCCAATTGGAAATAAATAGAAGAATAGGACATGTAAAATGTGATCCTTGCCCCAGTATATACCCATTCATCGCTTGATCTCCTGTCGCTCCTGCAGCCTCACCATCTGCTTTGGATCCTGCTCTGCAATCCCTCCTGCACCATTCCCTGAGGCTGAGAAAACCACTTTGCTAAGTGAATTTTTAGAGGCAGACTTTTATCTCTAAATAACAGATGTAAGAAAATTCTCAAATGAGGAGATGCAAGTATGGAAAAATCTTTTAATTTGTTCTTGTTCTGATAAGAGGAGCCGAGAGTCCTTCTGGGGTGGAGAAATTATTTGAGTACTCAGTAAGCAATATCTGCTGCTTAGCAGGTCTGAGTTACCCCAGTTCTTACAGAGCAAATGAGGAGAGGAAAGCTTGTAGTTCTGTTCCTGTGGAAAATGTAGTATTTCCAGTATCTTCCCACCCCTGAGCTTCCCTCCCAAAACATGAGTCTGTTAACTCCACAGGACAGTCCTGGCACTTACCAGAATTTAATGAGTGCTTATTATAGCCAATAAGTTCTCGCAGTATTTTAATGAGCAGAGCAAACCTGCTAAAGAAAACTCAGGGGTGTTTTAAATGCTAATAGTAGGGAGTGGAGAAGGGAGGAAGAGATACGAAGCAAGACAATCTCAGGAAAAATAAAAAACCACCTTTTCATGGATGTTATAGCAGTACCCGCCCATTCCACTTCTACATTAAGCCCTTTTCTCTCTTCTGCATGCTCCTTGTGCTCCAGGAGACAATTTCTGTAAAATTGAACAGCGAGTTTCCAATCCATGACTTTTAATAAACAAAGCATCACTCATTTATTCTAGGTTTTTCTTTTATCTGAATGTTCAAGACTCAAACAAATTGATGTGTGGCTGTAAGAGGAGTGTCCCATTCACGTGGGTCTGGTTGGTCACTATCTAGTCTATTCTCTGGTGCAGTCATTAATTTCTCATGTGGTATTTGATCCTTGTTTTGATTTAAATGCTTTCATTAGACACAGCCTGTATGAAAAACAGGAGGTGACCTCAAATGTCACCTGCCTGTCTCACATCTGGTCCCCATAGCCAGGTCCGTTTACTAAGTTCATTTTCACCAGGTCTGTATGGCTCTGGGACTGCAGGAAGCTCTGTGAAGGTTGCTACCTCTAAACCTTATTTTGCTTTTTTAGCCAAACCACAGAATGTATCTGAACCAAAGCCACCAATCTGGGTTGAAACCCAAATGCACCCTGAAGGTGGCCTAACCTAATTGAGGTAGAAACCACCATCCAGCACTCCCAGCTTTCCAATGGTATTTAGGTAAAGGGAATTCCATTTGATCTTGGACAAGCCTGATAGAAGTGTGGGATTTGCACATACTGGGTTTGGGGAGAAAAAAATCTCATGCAGGTCCAGCACAGGCTTGGGCTCTATCCTGCTGTCATGCCTGCCTTGTGGAGGGCTCTGCTGGGGCTGGCACAGCACCCATAAGGGTTTGTACTTGCCAATCTAATTACAGGGCTGGAACCAGAGCTCTTAACGACCTTCCTCTTTATGGCCTGACTGCATTAGCATCCAGTGATGTAGCTCTTTAGCAGGAGATTTGCCCATGACTGTGTATATAAGCACATGCATCTTTTATGCTGTATGTCTATGATGTGCTGAGGATCTCTATTTCAGCTATTACTAGTGAGCTTAAGCCATTTTTTGAACGCTTCCTGTTGCATTAGTTTCTGAGTATTACAACGAAAGATGTGCTTACATAAACACAGCAAACCAATATCCTTATTTAAACAGTACAAGGCTCAGAAGGCTCAGGTAATGGGCAATGACAGTGCATTGACTTCTTTCCACAAGGTTAACATACAATGCCTTATATTTTAAGCAGTGTTAGTAATCTAAAGCATTATCCATTATTACCCTTTTATTGCCTCTTAGGCAGCAGGAAGACCTCTAAACAGGAGAGACAGAAACTCTGTCCTGTTGTGGCTGTATTTAAATGGCAAACATTCACCAACTTGTCTGCCTGTTAAACCACCGAGGACCCCTTTGATTTTCCTTTGCCCTTCCCTGGTGTTTCTATCCATAGCTGTCTGTGTGTTTTGGATTGTATGCTTTTAGGGACAGAGGCTGTTTGCATGGCATCCTATATACACTCCTATATATTGACATGTACTACCAGACTATAAGAAATAACAATACTTTCCCCTAGTCAGTCAACTTGTAAGGCTTAAAATTCCTGGAGGACTATCTTCTAAGAATCATTCAAAATGAAGGCTTCATAATAGTCTTTGTAAGAAAAATATTCTGCATTTTTGGTCATTAGGAGGCCCTTCCTGAAGCAAAGTTAAGGTCTTCCTCCAAGCCAGGAGAGTATGTCCTGCTTCCAGCTCTCTGGAAATCCACCTGGGCTGATGGTGCCTTCTGTGTCTGCATGTGTTAGGAAATGCAGTGTAGAAATAGGCAGGTACTGACCTGCCTCATTCTGGCTTCCTTAGGATGCAAAAAAAGAGGGATCTTCTCCTGGCCTGGTCAGGTTGAGATTGGGGTGCTCCCTAACCACAGCACATGCAAACTCTGTTCTCTTTCCAGAACTACTCTCGGGTTTTTGAAGGTTTAGGTCCTTCAGCATTGGGTTCAACCATATTTTATTATTTCAATTGAACAGAAACAAATGCCTGTGATTATTCAGATTTCTGGGATTTTTTACTGCAGGTTGTGTTCATAGCTGAAGGGGTATATTTTAACATCATTGAAATATTAGCAATTTAGAGGGACAAAATGCTGCTTTAGGTGGCACAAAAGCTAACCATCATTATTATCTTGCTTTCTTTGTTAAAGGTTGATAAGAAAAAATACCTTTTAATCTTTTGGTTCTGAACAGTTATTTCAAATACAATTACTCCCTCTTGTGTGTAAACTACCTGCCACAATTTAATTATAGGAAAACAGTAGGGTAATAACACAGCAGTAAAGATGGATTAGTTAGAAAAGCTCATTGCCCTAACAGGCAGGATTCTTGTATTAATGATTTAAAGGAATAGAGTTTGTTCTTTTTTCTTTTTTTTTTTTAAATTAAAAATTGCCTCAGAAGAAAATGACTGTGCAGTTTATATTCCT